AGTGTGGCACCACAATTAACTGGGCCTGGGTTTTGTCACAGAGGTATTCTGGTGCCTCTGAGGTGACACTGCTCTCTTTAACTCTTCCTCTGTCTGCCCCCCTTTCAGCTCAGCCCTCACGTGCTAAAGATACAAACTCAACTTGCTATGGTAACTGTCAGCCAAACAACAGTCAACAGTGCAGCGAATCTAATGTATCCATCGCCTGCCAGACCATACTACATGCGAGCTCGCTCGTATCTGCACTGCATCAACCCCTGCTCAGGCTCTTTTTCTTCACCCCTGGGAATAAGTTCTCTCTGCTCTCTCCTGTTGTTGTCTTTTGAAAGAAAGCTGCAGCCCTGCGCTGCTAAATCAGCAAATCTGCCGTACACTTGATTCCCCGCTTCATGCTCAGCATCCCAAAGTAAATGTTCCAAGAAACTTTCTACTACTGAGGCCCTCGATTATCAGTCATGGCATTCAATTTTGGAGCACGTACAGTTTGTTTCAATGATGAATGATATCTCTCCAGCAAGCAAAAGAAATATTTAACAATAATATTCCTAAGAAGAGCTGCGCTCATACCTCAGATATTTTCTCCTACTCGGTCTGTTGGCTAGATGGAAAGTACTGTATCTGTGTTTGGGCTCGTTTTGTGCTGTACGACAGTTACAGTACGTGAAGACAAGAGGAGCTTTATCCTGCTGCACATGGGGAAACATCTTATTAAAGTTTCCCCTCTCATCCGCCTGACACAGCTCAAGCCCGGCTATGAGGGGCTCCTTCTCCGACACCTCGATGTGAGAGACAGTGTGCACATTATGCAGCACTGTTGTGGAGGTTGGGTGGAAAATTTTGCTGGGTCTGAGCTGTGCTTTCTTTGGCACCGGTGGCCTCTGGGCCAAAGCTTTTTCATCTGTGAACTGACAGCTTCACCTTAGTTCAGGAAACTGAGGAGTCAGATCCCCTGGATCACCGATCTGCTGGAGGAACATTCATAATGTTTTTGAATAATTTACCTTGTAATGTAAGCAAATGTTTTAAGGAAATAGCCTTTGTGTGCCTTTTTGTCTTGATAGTTTGTATTTAATGTGAATTTGCCTCACAAGGTATCCTTGTAAGCATAAACCTGAACATGCTAACATGCTTAGAGGAACAGTGGGTAGGATTTAGTGGCATTTAGCAGTGAGGATTGTAGCTAGAACTCCCAGTTAGGATTCCTTCAGTGTTCGTTGTTCAGGAGGCTTTCAATGGGAGCCAAAATATCCAAATAGGTCTCTCCTCTCCAAAACAAATGTACCAGGTGATTGAAACCAATAAAACACTGAATATGGCAGTTTTATGTTACAAATCAGTGTTTCTCCAATGCTGTTTGGCTCATTGCAGATAGACCACTAGCCCAGCACCTGCTAATGTGTACTTACCTTTTATCCCTAATAACATAAGATTCAGACCTTCAGGAGGTTTTGTACCCGGAGCTGAATTATCTGCAGAGGTCTCTTCGTCTCCAAAACAAATTAACTTTGTGATTTAAATGTTAAAAACAAGGAGTTTCACATTGTTTTTCCAATACTGTTAAAAATTTCTGGGCTACCGTAGAAACATGGCAGTGCAACATGTCGGACTGGACAAGGACCTGCCCCCTAAGTAGATATAAATGGCTTATTCTAAGATAACAAAAACACAATGATTCTTATATTCAGGTGATTATACATTAAAGAAAGCATACTTATTGAATTATATTCCATTTCTGTCAATATATCCCCCTAAATCCTCTACACTGCACCTTTAAAGTGTTGTGTATGTTCTTTTTTCTCCTCATGTTTTTCACCATCCTCCCAAACCACGGCATCAAAGTCAAAGAGACAGAATTCAGCAATTAGGCCTTTTTTGTTTTTGTCAAGAAAGCAACTGGTTTGGAAATTACAAGGCAGCAGGTAGTGGCAACACCCGTGTCACCTCCCTCTCTCAGCTAACGTCACCAATTTGGTTGTTTTCAGTAACACCAGTTTGGCTGCACCAAAAACATTACAGCAAAGGTTTAAAAAGACAGGAACATACTTTTTTTTAGTTATTTTATCTTAAGAGAGATTAGATCAAACTGAAAAACACAAAGCTAAGCTAAGATGTGACTGGCCAGTAAAACAAGTGGGATATTGTTCTGCTTGTGAGTCTGTGGGTGTCACAATGAGTTGCCTGATTGTGTTGCTGTGCAGCATCTTTGTGGAGTTAACATGGAATATCAGAGGCAGTTGGAGTCAAGGTCTCTTCAGGTCAGACTTCCACCTTGGCTCTGTGGTAATGCAGAACAGTCCACAGTATGACTATTCCTACCTTCTGTCTCTAGTGTCTCTAGTTGTCTTCTGCCCTCAGACCTCCTTAGAAAACTAAAGCCAGAAACAAGACAAGACGCTCTGTGTCTGCTGGTAGCCAACACGATGTCTGCGGTGCACAATTCAAACAGGGATGCAGTGACTTAGAAACCTCTATAAAATAAGGGGCCAAAATCTTTACTCTGTATTTCATGTAGAGCACTGAGCTCACAGTTGGAGAACATGGAGGCAGTTTTCAGGGTGTAACATATGTCGAGTATTTGTGTTGGATTTCATAAAACACTGGTATTTCCTGGTGTTTTGGGTCCACAAACTTTGGCATCTCTACAGAAATACTTCTTACATGTTACACAACATGCTACAGTGCTGTGGTCACAAGCTCTTTCGTAAACTAAAGGGAGTTTGCTTGGGGTCTATGCCTGTCACAATGAAGGCTGTCATCAAGTCAATGATGTACCATTGCAGGTATAAGCATAGTAATTACCCTGACAGCCAAGGTTTTCATTACTTATACTCAGAGGCTGTATGTTTCAAGCTCAGCATATGCAAACTCTTTAGCACTAATGCTGGGATTTTCCAATGGCTGGAGGAGCATCTGCCATGACAGGGCTTTTCTTCATGTCTCCTCTAACATCTGGTTTCACGACGGCTTCAGATGCCACGGCTGGGCCTGTGGTGGTTGTTTACAGATATTCTGAGGCCTTTGAGGGATTCGAGGAGGTTCGCCACATTGGCTTGCTAAATGACAGAAGTGTAACTGAACCCAGATAATTATTTGCATATGAAATTAGCTTGCTAGGACAAGTATATACATTTGTGTGAGGACGGAGGTGGTGATGTTTTCTCCAAACAAGCATGACGCGGTGGCACGTGGGTGCATGGGGGAAGCCTGCCATAAGCCGCCTTATAGTCTTGTTTTGACTTACCCTTCAAGTGTCTACACTGAAGGGCCCTATTGGGACAGAGGATCAGGGGGACGAGGCCACTGATGAGGGGTGGTTGAGTTCACAAGGCTGTTCTGCTCTTTCAGGCTGCTGCTTTAACACTGGTGGGACAACATTTCCTTATTGTAACTAGACAGAAGGAGAGACTCATCTATCGTTCAGCACTGAACAAAGTTTGCCTTCGGGTTGTAAGCACATGTTTTACAATCTCATCTTGCCATACATTCCGACTGGCAATAGCATGGCTCCAAAGGCGAAGCCTTCCCTTCTCACTTGAAACAGCTGATTTATGTCTGGTCCTGGACACTTGTGCTCTGTGGCTGGAATGCAGGGAATTTCAAAGACCCCTCCTCTGCCTGTCCCGTCCACACGCAAACAAATGGAGCAGGCGCCTGGTTGGGCAGATGAAGGCCCACCGGTGCTCCCACTGCAGGGCAGGGATGCAGAATGTAAGGAATGTCAGAGGCGAGAAAATAAATCCATTCTGTCCTTATTTCTGTCAATCTGTAGCTCTTTCTTTCCCTGGTATCTTTCTTGTTTGTCTTTTCCCTTTTGTGCTATCTCTCTCTCTCTCTTGAGTTATCTTGTTTTATTTTTTTTTTCTTCTAATTCAAGCTGGGGTATGCAGTTGAATTTAGAGTCATTGGGCAAAGACATTAATAAACTTTGAGCATATTGTAATTTAAGTTGACTGTGAGAAAACTAGACTTCTGCACCTCCACTTGGCTCTGTTTTCAGGCTTTAGAAAATCTAGGCCATGACGGCAGGCAGATCACAGATCATTTCAGAGAGAGGGTGTTCATGTTGTCTATACATGCAGATGTGTGCGCACGTCCCTTTGGTGATAGCCTGATTCAGTGGTGGAATACTGCAGAGAAAGTTGCTATTGTAGCATTGGCAACAACCGCCTACACTGTAAAGCAGCACAAAGAAGGAAGGTAAGTTATTAAAAAAACAGTCTAAAGAGAGTCTGACAGCCAAGCGTTTTCAGAGACAGAGAGAAAATGTTGATAGTACTTTAGCTTTCTGCTAAGCAGAGTTAAAAGCTCACGACTGCGGCCTTAAGACCTTGTTTATAGCAAATGTTAGCTAACATTAGAGCCTCAAATCAGTGTGTCCTCCATCTCACTGAGAGGAGAGTGGGCAGCAGCTCTGGAGATGGACCCCCAGGTAGCGCCTGCAGCAACCCTGATCCACCCAGCACAAACTCCCTATCAGTTAACAGGTTAGATCCAGCACTGCCACAACCCATCAGCCTGCTGTCACACCCAGCATTAGGGAGTTTGCGCTGGCCGAATTTGAGTCACTACAGCCTCTGGCCAGATGTCTGTCTCCCAAGCTGATGCAGGCTCTCCTCCTGGGATAACAATCCACAGCAGCAGGGTATGATGCAAAGTGAAGGTGGGGTAGCTAACATTAGCATGCTAATTCTTGTCTAATTTGCAGTCTGATAAACAGGAAAAGAGAGAGCAGGGCATGAAGGAGGTGAGTTAATGCACTGTGTGCAAACCTTTCATGAAACAAGATTAAATAAGTCAGTGTATGTGAAACATTGGGTTACTGTATGAAGCATGCACATTGGCCGTGGTTGTCTGGTGGGAGGGGCTTAGGACAGAGAGGGAAGAAAGGAAAGCTGCAGGAGGATGGTACATTTTCATTGTTGTTGTTTTTTTTCTTCACGTTTCTGCCTACCCAAGCTTTAACTCTCATTTCTTGTTTATGCACACATAATCTGCAAAAATTAGCCGGAATAGGAGAAAATGAATTTATTTGTGTTACAGTTTTAAAAACACAAATATGCATAGTGTTCTGTCTGAAGTGTGGCAAATTATGAATTTTGTGGCAAACGAAATAATGCTTTGTTAAACACACACAACGCAATATGTTCAAGACTGTGTAAAAAAGCAAAAGACCTCAAAGTTATTGTGTACAAACGGTGGGAGTCAACATAAGAACACAAATCTATCATGTAGCATTTTTACAGAAATGTAAAATCAAAGGCACGATGGCTGTGTTTCAGCTGTAACTCAATAGTACATGCATCTTAAACATGCGGCTGGCATGGCAAACAAATCAAAAGAAGAAGAATTCAACACTCCATAGAAGCTAGAATAGTTAAATGTTTTGACAATAAAAACATAAGCAGCTCGGTCTATTGTAGCTCATTTTCATCTCAATGATATATCCAGACACCATTTTGATTGCTTACTTAGTCTTTGTCTCCTCATGGCTATAGTTTAATAATTCCCTTTCTCCTCTTGGGGCCTCAGCGCAGCTCAAGGCCTGCTCTTCACTGCGGGTTTATCCATTATGTTGAGCACATCGTCCAAGATGGACGGGCCCAGATCAAGTTCAAGGGAGAGGAATGACCCCGTGATCTGGGCGAGGGAATCGTGCGACGTGCTCTTCTCCTTGGTAAACTCAAACTCAAAATCACAGATGCGGCCCTCCTCCACCCCACTGTCCCTGTCCACCCACTCTCCATTGCACTTTGAGAGCTCCTGCTTGAAGCCCAGGGTAACATCATTGTTAAAGTGTCCATAACCATTGCAGTTGCTGTTGCCGTTGAGACTCCTGCTGCCATTGCACATCTTGTTCTGGAAGTCCCCTTTACCGCTAAAGCTGTCAAAACTGTCGCTGCTCACGTTACTGTCCAGGCTTCCGTTAGCTTTGAAGGTGCTGTCGCTGTGACTGTTGATATAATAGGATGATGGCTTGTCAAATCTGGGTTCGCTCTTGTTTATTTTGTTAGCTTTGTCAACTGCATTTGAGGTGGACTTATCTTTGTTTTCCAGCAGGTCAAGGAGGACATCAGGCTTCGACTGGATATCTGTGGAGGGAGACGGGGGTTCGCTGCTGAAGACGTCCATGGAGCGCAACAGAGCATCCATCTGCAGGATCTCTACCTCCTCTGTGCTGTCAGGTTTCATAAGAGCTGTAGACCCCATGATGTCCTCCAATGGCTCCGGGGGCATGGGGAACACAGAGGAAGAGATCAGGGGAAGGGTAAGTGCCTGGCAGCCACCAATTGTTGGGAGGGAGATGGCATTCTTGAGCACCGGAGAAGGGGTCTCTGCAAAGGAAGCATCGCCAGTGCTGTTAGCTCTCAGGAACTCACTTTGGATGCCATACTGAGGGTGGACGTCTGCTTTTCCAGGTAGGAGTTCATACTTCCCCTGGAGGAAAGACATGTCTCCGAAGGCGTCTCTCTCTCCGCCCTTGCCAATGTGGATGGTGTGACGAAAGTCACCAAGCGGTGGACTGATCATGTCTGGGGACAAAATATCTCTGAGGCGACATTTCTTTCCCTTCTTACTATTGGTGGGTTTCAGGTATATGGGTGCTTTTGCAGGCATGGCTGTAACTGCGGGAGAGATCTCAGATATGCAGGATAGAAAAGTCGGAAATGCTCTACGAGTTCTGGACCCTGTAGTTCCCCCCGGGAGGAGCTCCAGTTACATTCTCAGTAACACACCGGTCAGACAGGACTCCAAAAATATTTTCTGCAATTGCGGCATCGATCAAGAAATGGGATTCCAAGCAGGACTGGTGATGTCTGCCCGTACAGAAAGGTCAAATTGCCGCTTTCCTGAAACCAGAGACAAATAGAGAATATGTCAGCATTTCTTTTTAAAACATGAGCTCAACACTGACACATTTCCTGAAGGTTCCTGTCCTGCCTTCCAGAAACAGAAATCTGGTCAGCAATACAAGTCCCACAAACAAAGTGCAAGAAAAAAAAATCTTATCCTCATCTTGCATCTGGCAAGCTGAGAGGCTAGAGCAAAGGAGGATGAGGCTTTTTGCTGCTCTATTCACATTTCCACACATGAGCCTCTGTTGGCCTCCACAGCTCTGGATGTGCTAATGTGGAACAGCTGGACCGCAGATTGGGAGAGGAGAAGCAAAGCGGGACTTTAGGAGGATCAGAGAAGGGCAGTCTGTTTTAGGACCGAGCTACTGCTCAGACACGCACAGAGATAGACAGAGATGGACACGAGGGGGAGAGGAGGGGAGGGAAGGGGTTTAAGGGGTTTCGGGGGATTGTGTGAAAAAGATAGAGAGAGGGATTACAGAGCAAGTGGATCTTAAGAAAGAAGGTGATGCAGATTGTGAATTGATTTGGCTTTGATGGGCAGAGAGTTTAATAAGGGCTGAGATACCAGCTCGGTTGCACAATACATCAGGATGGGTAAACATTATTAAGGGGGTATTGGATTTGATAAAAGGTGCCTGATTGCATGCTGCCTTCTCAGAGCTTTTTCATTACAAATCCAACCCCACGTTGGCAGCCGGCTTAGTGTGGCATCAACTCGGTAAAAAGAGGAGAGAATCAGTTTGACTGTTTGAAATGACATAGCAACCAAGGAGAAAGGGGAAAAACACTCCATGGAGGAAGGGAGTTGACAGTGTGTGTGTGTGTGATGGGGGGGTGGGAGAGAGCACCAGTGAGGAGAGAGCTTGCCCATTTATAGACATATTTACTTATGAGAGGTCTGTCAGCAGTGACCGTCTAACAGAGTGCACCGCCGCACAAAGTGCCTGGGCGGTCAAGTCCACCCCAAAAAAAAAAAAAACGTTTCACAGAGAAAACATCCACATTCCTGCTGCAACCGACTCCATAGAGACACACTGCATCAGCCTTATCAGAGACACTTTAAGTAGGCTATGTTTATTCAGCAGGCACATTAGTGTGGAGCCAGAGAGACAGACACTTGCCGCGTATTTGAATCCAAATAGCAGGCTGGAAACCATTTCACTGACATCCACTTTCAACATGGATTCTTGTGTTTCCAACCTGTTTGATGAAGTGCAGAGTCTGCGTTACAGTGTGAGAGTCACCACTTCAACAAACTGTATAGGATGTGAAGTACAAGGTGAAATCTTCTCACTTCAGGGGATGCCATTACAACACAAATAAACCTGTCACCCAACAAGCACCATGGGGCTATATATAGCCATGACAAACACAGAGGGATGCAAAACATGTGTGAGTGTGTTGAATGGCAACACCGCTCTCTCCGAGGGTCCTTGTGTATTCGAGTGCTGGCGTGAGTGTGAGTGTTTGCGCGAGGTGCCTGACTGCGCTTGTGAGAGATAGCGGTTTTGAATGCACGCCATGTGTGCGAAGGAGACCGTGTTTGTTTGCTAACAGTGAGGGAGAGAAAGGGAAGGGGAAGGAGGGGGACGAAGAGGAGTGCTGCAGTGTTTGATGAAGGGAGGGAGGGGGGCACAGCAAAATCCCTCACCTATTTAGCTCAAGCTTTTCTCTCTTTTTTTCCTCCCATTCCTTTTCCTCCCACTTGTTTTTTCCTTTTTGTAGTCTCTCTCTCCTTTCGCTGCTGCTCCTCAGTCCTTTCTGACCTTGACAGCTGATGCTCACTGCAGTGGGAATATTGGGCTTGGATAGGAAGTGAAACAAATGCACCATCAAGCCAAAAGCTGTTTCCTGTGGGCTCAGAGTGCACATATCTATATCTGTATTAACTTTAGCGCTGAAATTCCCAAGAATAGAAGCTGCACTGCTGGCTGAACACTCCCTATCAAACATACCTATTGATTATTGGTCAGCCTTGATGAAATTAAAACATCTGCCCAGTCTGTGTGGACCCTTGAGAAAACTCACAGCCCATGCATTATCACAGATGATAATGTTGGCTGAAATCAATAGTATAGACAGAACTTATAGGAAATCCTCCAGCAGAATCCAACTCTTGCAACTCTCACAGGAGGACATCTGCTGTGCATCCTACCCAAGGTCAACACTTGTGGCCCGTGAGAAGTCAGCTGGTATGATGAAAGCCTGGAGGTCTGACCTTCACGTCAGCCATCCTGCTGGTGGCCCAGTTTGGCATATGTGGCAAACATGACTGGAATTCCAGAGGCCAAGAGCAAAGTATGAGGAAAACAATATCCTCATGTTGGTCTTTTAGGAATCTGCTGCATATCCAGTGTGAGGGTTAATTTAATGAGAGCGTGGGTCAGTTAGTATTGATTTGAATGTATGTAGAAAATCCTGAGAGAGTCATAGCAATGTTAGTTGTTATGCTTGTTTTGGCCCAGGAGGATATTAATCAATTACAACAGCTCAGGCTATCCCAGGATAGACCCTTACAGTCTGCTGACCCAGTGAATCCATATGTGTCTCAGCAGGATGTTGATAGTTGAGCAGGTGTATTCTGGTATATTTCAAAGCCAAGGCCAGATTTGCACCCTCTTTCTGGAACTGGGCCAAAAAGAAGTAGCATGGCACGCGTTGGCTGGCTCGAGCCTGGCGCCGCCGCAGAATGCGGTCGAGGGTTTCATTTACACCTCTGGGGAAGTGAGGATCTGATGGCACCTTCCTTTTCAAAATTGCTTGCCTGAGCAGCTCATCTAGTCATAATGGGCGCTGCAAGATAAAGCGACTGTGTCATTGGGTCAGCAACAGCTATCTGTCTGGGCATGAAGTGATCTGAAGCCACTCCAGCCTCTTTAAAAATGAAGCTTTGCCTTGGGGGGGGGGGGCGGATAGTGTAAGGGCAGATAAATGTGGGGTTGGTATCTGGTAATTAAACTAATGGCTCGTGATTTGTCTGGGTATTTCTGGACACCTAAGAGTCACGTGTGACATTACTGGGTCAGTGTATTCTTAGAGGCGGAGCAACTCTACTGTAGCCTAAATAAATGCTTCAGTTTGATGATGCTTTACAGCTCAACAAACTTGTCCAAAGCCAGTGATGATGGACGTGCAGAGAGAGAGGCTCAGGAGAGCAGCTGTTCAAAATATGACCTGTATATGACTTCCCCATTCTTTAAAATAGACACCGTGCCTTCTCTAAATATTCCTCCCGTGATGGGATTACTGTGCTGACATGTCACATCAGTGCTGCTGAAAAATAGCATGCTATCCTGCACTTGTGTAGTAGTTGTGGTCAGTGTAACATCATCAGCATGTGGGAGACAAACTTCTGTTCCTCCCACTGTGTCTACAAAGAAACTTCATGGAAGTTTGATGTCTTCAAATACTCCTCTAACACATAACCGTGGCCTTGACATCTGTCACGCCTTTGAATAGCAGAAAGACCCTCTCTTTGGGGCTGTTATAAAAAGCAAATGCACATACCACAGAGGGTAATGGTAGCCTTACAGAATAGACTGAGCTGTTTGTTACATAAAAAAACCTCAATTATAGGCAAAGGCCTTACTTTCGGGGGCCTGGTGGCGGTGCCGGGACTAGGGCGAATGGCAGGGTGGAGTATTTGTTCTGTCTTTCTTTCTCGCTCCCCTTGTGCCACCCGCGAGCATGGCCAGCACATGCCAGAGTTATCCTTGGCAGAGATGAGCAGGAAGCCGAATCAAAGCGTATGAAGCATGAAGGGAATGTCAACATATACTGGCAAAAAAGAAAAGTCCTTTCCTCCCAGTATAAAAAAACTCCTCCAATTCTGTTTCCCTCGAGAGATAAGGGCAAAACCAGCTCTGCTTTTCAGAGGAACATGCCTTAAGCGTGTAGCTGGACTAAAAATGTCTCTTGGAAGGCAGGCAGGATATCATGTTGCTTCTAACAGTTCAGCTTTTGTGTTACATATATGAGACTGTCTGCCGGACAAACGTTCCTGTACAAGCCTAATTTACCATGCATGCTTTTGCACGTTTTACTGTCACTCAGCAATATCCCAGACACTCACTAAAAACTATGACACATACATAGATACAGGTACACTGAAGCAACATCATCCCATCCACTAATTCAGATCACCGTACCAGCAGAGTGTGAAATGGAGCATGCTCTGGCTCTCACTCACCTCAGATAATCCAGTGGGTGAGATCTTGATCCTTCCCAGGTATCGCTGGTGTTCTCCTGAATGCTACAGCCTCAGGTTGATGTGTGTGTCTGTATGTGTGTGTTCAGTGGCTGCTGTTCTGCTCCTGTGGCTTGTTGACACTGCCCTGCCTCCTGTCTCTGCCTCGGGGCTGCACTTCTGTCGACTGGGACGTCTGCCGGACAGCTGTTTTGGAATTGCTCTCCGGCTCCTATTCCCTTCTGAAGCAATTCAAGTCTCCTCCTACACCTCCCCTCACTCCCCCCTTCTTCCTCTCTCTCTCTTACTCTCTCCCTCTCTTTCTCGCTTTGTCTCTCAGCGTTCTCACTCTCTTCTCTCTCCCTAGCAGCACCTGTGCATGTCTGTCCTCTCTTCTACCCAGAGCTCAGATTTTTTTAAGCAGCTCTGTGGTGTTTGAGGATCCTCCTTGCTTCCTGTGCCTTGGTGGAGCTGCGGTGATGAGTGATCACAAGCTTCGGTCTCGCGGAGAAAGGCACATGCCTCGTGGGATGTCTGGCTGTCTCTCCTCTCTAAAACAGTCCCTCATGATATGCACACTGAGTATGTGTTCACTCTTTTCCTCCTCTGCTATTCTGCCTCATCCTGTCTGACTTTGCGACTGCCCACATCTGATAAGAGCTGTTCTGTAAATGCAGCCGGCAGACACTTGACTGGACTCTCCCTGTCTCTATCCTTATCTATCCTGCACACCCTTAACCGTGCATTGTTTCCTCAAACCATTACTCTGCTTAGTCACTTCATATTCTGTCCAATTCTATTCATTTTGCGTATTTTTCAGAGCTGCAGTAGGCTGAGGCGACACTGTGCGAACGGACTAATTGCTGCAGAATACTGCAGCACTGCAGCACATGCAGGGACAGTTACAATGGACAGCACATGGGTAGTGCTGCAGCAAAAATAGACTTCTTCAGTGGGAATCTTGTTTCTCTAGAATGGTTTTAAATGTAAAGACAGAGCCGGCGTGTAAAGGTTTTAACCTAATGCCCTCAAGTCAAGGACATGGCAAACCTTGCCTGTGCACCCCATGTTTTTTTGGTGATATTCTTGTATAGGAAAAAAAATCCCATCACCTTGGTAACTGGTACAGCTCAGAGGTGATGTCACACTTTGCTGTGTAGTTTCCCCCCCAAAGAAGCAGGGGTAAGCAGAGGAGAGGTGTTCTGCTTGTACAGTGCATTACAAAAGGGCAAAGGAGATAAATGTGGGGGGAGGGGTGCTTGTATCTCAATCAATGTGTGTGTGTGTGTGTGTGTGTGTGTGTGTGTCTGCGGTTAAGAAATGGGGGTGAATGCATGTCCTCACAAGCCGTTGCAGTACCTTAACAATAATCCTGCCTTGTCCAGCATATGCAGCAGCACATCCCTCTGCAAACACCACAAATTCTCACCTCACCTTCCTGGTGAATCTGACCCGGGTAGCTCATTCCCCTTAATCCGCTCTCTCCGTACTGTTATATTACATGTGATGGATGCACCACTGTAATAACTACTCATATATAATGCTTTTCAAAGTCTTGTGCTGAAATGAATGTGTGTGTTTGTGGACGGCTTGTGTTGCTCAGACACCCTCTATTTAACTTACACAGGCGTTATTTAGCACCAGTTAAACAGCAGTTGTGAATGAAGCCCTTTTAGCATGGTGTTGTGGAGTCGCCTCGGGGGTGATGTCATCGGGGCGTCCATGTGGCCTGCACATGATCTGTAAGTAGAACACACAACACTGTCTTCTCATTTAGGAAGACCATCAAACCTTGGAAACTCCAGAGCGACTGCTTGAAAAGGAAACTTTATGTAAGTTCCCCCCCAAAAAAAGATGAACTGCTCAGTAGCGGAGAAACGGGAAATGCAGTCAGTGATATTGTCCTAATAAGGTGTAAAGGGAATAAGTTGTAGATTATCACTTTATAATGGTGAATAAATCATTTAATTTGCTTTTTACAAGGATGATGCACATTTCTCAATATATCTGCAAATGTGCCAGCTGGCTCATTTTCAACTGAAGTCCTTAAACAAGATGTTCTAAAACCAAAAGCCCTTTTTCACAGCAGACATTCTGGCTTGTCATAGTCAGAAAAGCACAGGTATCATTAATAACACTAATGAGGGCTGTGTTTCATCCAAGTGTCCCAGTAAGTCATTACAGCAGTGAGCTACCATCCCCAGTGCTGGGAACCTGAAACTGAAGCAGCTAGATGGAAATCAGCTATGATTAATATGATTGGTAAGCACTTTGTGCTTTGGCTTGAAAAGTGCTCTACTAATAATGTTATCATTATTATTATTATTTGCACTTGTGATGTTTTATTGTTATACCAAAAAATGCTCTACTCAAAAGGCCTATCAAAGAACCATTCCATAAATACAAGCACTGGACAGTAAGGTGCAAAAATGACAACAGCAACAAAATTAGCAATAAAATAATAATAACATCTGCTGGTCAGTATATGGAGCCATGCAAAGTAATATCAAGTGACAAACCACAAACAAGCAAAACTGTAATAACCACATTTGCACACATGAGGTGTGCAGAGCAGTGTTAAACAAAAAGACACACAATACAATGTTAAGGACCATCATATTAATCTTCATGAAAAAAATATATATAGTTATAGTCGGAAAATTAGTGAATGGTTTGCTTTGTAGATCACTTAAATTATTAATCATGGAAAAATCTGGGGTGCCAAACTGTAAAAATATTTTTGTCTGGACTGAAATCCATTGATGCAACTTTTCACCATTTACAGCTCCAGACTTAATGGACCATTGTAGTGGAAGGCCCCTGTACGGTAGACTATTATAATTATTGTGTAATTATAACACACACATAGTGTAACAGCATACTTTGTTTTTCTATATTGTAAATGTGACTCTAATCAAGTCTGTATTACATGCACATTACATATTACATGTAAGTCATTAAAGGGATAGTACAGATTTTTTGATGTGGGGTTGTATGGGGTACTAATTAATAGTCAGTGTGTTACATACATGTCTGTCGGCACACCCTGAGTTTAGAGAGGTGGCAGGAGTATTGACATGGAAGCTAAACAATGTACTGGGTGAGAAGGGGTCAGCAACAAATGTATTTTAGCCATCTAAAACAATCAGTGACAGTTTAAGTTTATGCTATTTATAGAGTATTGTCACCAGTGTATCTTGCTGCAGACAGCTGAAGCCATTAACAACTTCAGTTCCCCACCTATTTTCTTGTCGAAGCCACCAGACTCCATTTAGAAAAACAGTAATTTTGGCTCTCTGAACATGAGAGTTGCTGGTCTACCACTGCCTCATTCAGTTAGTTAGTTAGTTAGTTAGTTAGTTAGTGTTATTTTGTCACTCAAGTAAATCTGAACTAATCCTTTTAAACTCCAAAGTTACACATTAACACAAACAAGGCAGTAGATCAGCAGCTCCTGTGTTCAGCAATGTTAAATCACTGTTTTTCTTAATGGAGTCTGGCCTTAAAGAGAACGATATAATGACTTTGGTTCCCTGTTGGAAATCGCTGTCTGGTAGTGAGGTCAAGTCACAAAAATATTCTAAATATAGCATGCGCAAACTGTTATTGATTTCTTTGGTGGGACTTTTTTAGGTGGTTAAAATACGTTATTTAGCTTAGTTGGACTCCAGTCTGCTCCTCCAAACCGGGGATTTGCCGACTGACATCTACTGTATGTACCTTACTAGTACCTCATACACCCTGACCTTGATAAGCCATGAGGTCTGCACTTGTAAATATTAGTAAATCAGTGACCAAACAGACTTTTTCAGCCTGGAAAACCAAAGATCATCATTGTTAATGGATTATTACTGATCTATAAAGTCTTAATAAATAATGTTATACAGCCACAAGTTACAAATGACTTAAGCTTTTATAATCTTCCCTTATTAGAAAAAAACACTTCACACCCACTCTGTTATATTATTGGCCCCAACGTTTTGTTGTTGTTGTTTTTCTTTATTCAGTTTCCTTCCCGAGTCCAGTTACACAGTGTTTTGGCTGTTCTCAGATATTTTTCCACCAAACTTGAGACAGCAGCTTAAACTCACACTGTATGATGTTTCTGTTGAACACAGCATGTTTGCCAGGAATATGCTTGTAACCTTATTTTTGTTTTTCCATCACAAGTTGTGTTTTGGGGTTGTGTTATTGGAGAAATTAGACTCATTTCTTATTCCAGTTGAAGAGTAATTTGCCTCAGTCTGCTTTGGCACGTGTCTTTGCCATTTACACAAGGAGAGCTTTCTAAGCGAGGTTGCTGTACCGTCTGAGGTGTCCTGTCTAAACTGTTCCACTGAGGTTACTTTTCTCCAACTGACACACCATGTACTGATCTCAGGTCAGGTAAACAAGCCTGCCCTTGTCCACCAAAGTAAATCAACTGAGAAAAAACAGGATTTAAAGAGGCATACTCAGCTCTTAACACATTCACCACTTTCTGTTGTAACTCATGAGGTATATAACAAGCATCACAGTAAGTGAGGACGATGGCTTTCTTCTGTTTTGCAGATTTAGTTTTAATCTCAAGTTAACACCTCACTCAGCTGACACATCAGCCGACTCCACCCTTCCTCCTACAGCTTCTGCGATGAATATGTTCACACCCATTATGGAGTAAGCTACATCATTATCACTTGCTGTCTGAAGGAGGCAGAGTGAGTGAGGTGAGGAATATGAACGGTAACACAAAACACTACTGTAGATTGTCTTTTAAAAAGATTGCTGCTTCTACTGCTGGCTTTTCAGTTTGAAAGTGGTGATAGTGTGCTGGATGTTTGCCCAGACTTTATTTGCTGGAATCCATTTATCATGTAGAAAAAAAAAAATGTGGCTGCATTAATAATTGCAGCTATGAAGAAAGATGCCGTTGTCAGGGCCAAGTGTGGACACAGAGTAATGTCATCTTGTGAATTCTCATTTTCATGATTAAATCTGAGGAGGTCAGTGTAACTGATTCCAAAGTGAAGAACTCTAAAATAATAAAGATATATGTAGCTATAACAACAGTGTTCCTCCCTGTGACTCTGGAGGGAGTTTGAATGGTATTTCTCACAATTTTTCACAGCTTTTAGCAACATCTGAATGAACGCAATGTTCAGCACACATATTCAGTGTACATTGTTGGAGACTTGACGCCACATGTTGACAGCTCCATTTACATTCTTATCAAGGGTTTTTCTCATGGTTGCACTAATTCACTGTAGGTCCTTGTGCACACATTCATTTTCATCCTGACAGAAAACATTTCACAATGTACTCAGCCCTACAGGCAGCACACAGGGAGGGACCTGATCCTGAGGGCACTGGCCAACGTTCTGAGTGCAGGAGATGTGCAGCCGAGCGGAGGGGAGGAGGGGATTGTGGGTAGTCTAAACACCGTCTTGCTCTGTGGCTGTATCCCAAAATGTTTTTTGTGTGTGTGTGCGGGCGATACACCATACTGAATTACTGCAGACCACACACACCAGAGGTAGCACCTCAGCTTCTGTGCCTATTTTAGCAACTGAACAAACTTAGCATGAGGTGGAGTTCAAGGGCAAGGACAGCAAGAGGTCATGGCTTAATATACTGTTATGTATTAGCAA